CCCCCCCCCCCCCAAAAAAAAAAACAAAAAACAAAAAACAAAAAAAAACCCCAACCCACAATTAGTTTACTATATTCAGATGGATTACCCGGATAACAATAATGATTTTAAATGAAAACTATAGCCAAATCTAAAAGATCCAGTCTCATATATCAATCAATCAGCAAGCTTGCAATATGTTCAAATTAGGAGGGTATTTTTATAGTCGTTAATAATCAAGGGTGGATAGGGAAAAGAGGACAGTTGCAACCTATTAATTGCTAATCATGTTGCAGGATAAAGATGACAGTTGCAACTGCAAGCAGATAAGGAGCCCTAAAAAGTATTTTTAAAATGAGAAAACTTCAGTATAGATCATGTACTGATCAAATTTTATTTGAGTTCTTAACCTTTAAAAATAATCAATGTTTTCTCCATTTTCAAATTAACTCCTTTTGAGGTTTTTCATTATCTATTGTTGACATGACATCCATCTGGACTGTCTTTTCCCTCTCCTTTTTACCACATATCCCTATAAGTTTTGAAAATTATAAATAGCACCCTAAAGATTTTAAATAAATAGCCCCCTAAAAATTTTCAAAAGCTACAAGTAGTCCCCTTAAAATTTAGAACTAATCTCCTGGAAGTTTTGAAAATTACAAATAGAACTGTGATAGTTATTTGTAATTTTTAAAACTTTCAAAGGGATGTTTGTAGAAATTTAGGGGTCCACTTATATTTTTCAAAACTTATGGGGACTATTTGTATATTTTCTTTTGGGGGAAGCATTTGTAAAATTTTAGGGCGTTGTTTATAATTTTCAAAACTATTGGGGGGCTATTTAGATTTTTAGATGACTACTTAGCTTTTGGGCAAAAGTTGAGTATAACTCCCTAATGTATTAGCCCAATTTTGTTGGAGTACCTAAACTTTGAAAGTCATCAACAAGGATCCTAAATTTTTACAAATAGACCCTCAAAAATTTTACTAACAACCCATTGAAAGTTTAAAAATTATAAACAACTTTCAAGGTCATATTTATAAATTTCAAAACTTTCAAGGGGTTGTTGTAAATTTTAGGGTACTACTTGTAGATTTTAAAATTTTTAAGGGGCTATTTATAATTTTCCAAACTTTCAAGTGCTATTTGTAATTTTTAAAACTTGTAAGGGGTTGCGTGGCAAAAAAAAGAAAGAAAAGATAGCCTAGTCGGATGTCATGTCAACAATAGATAATAAAAAAATTTCAAAAATGGCCTAATTTGATGACGGTGAAAACATTAGGGATCTTTGTTGATGACTTTTGAAAGTTAAGAACACCTGAAAGATGAAGAATTCTGAAATATCCATGGGGTTCGTTGATAGAATAGAAATTTCTATCTTAGATTGAAGAAAGGGAAGGAGGGAAAAAAAAGAATCAATCTACTAACGATGAAAAAATAGAAAAAAAAAGAGCTGTGCATAAGTTCAGCATCCATTCTTTGTGATGGAAAAATAGTCACAAACATACACTTCAAAATAGCATCGCGCTAACAACCAGCAGTCTACATGAATTTAGCCTCATTACAAGAATAGGTTACACAGTCGAAATATATGAATGATACAATAATATCTAATAAAATCCATAATATTTCTGTTACATCATGAACTGCAGTATATCATGAAAAATCAAACCTAATTCTCGGCCGAGGTCTCTGTATCTTTGCTCCAGACCAGATAATACTATGTCTCAACAATAACCAGACCGTTCTCATGTTAGCTTTTACTGAGTCTACATTAAAGATCAGAACCAGGCTGCTCGGCTTCTGGCTCTTCATCTCACTTGAGACCAAAACAATAAAACTCATTTATAACCCAAAATTACAGTGATGATCAAATTTAAGAGGAATTTTTTTTAATAAGGAGTAATCTGAGATCGGTGTGTCCCTCCATAATTCTGGCTAATTGTTTAGCTAACGTAACACATATCAAAGTCATGAACTATGATCTAGACTAGAGTGGCATGGATGTGTGCCACGTTAGGAACACACCGACCAACACCGTACAGGGACACCCATCCCTCATTTACAAACTAAAAGTATTGCGGATAACATCAACGAGGATGGATAGCATATATACTGATCTTTGAAGTCACAATGCTGTAAATACTTTAAACTACCCTCCAACTGTAGGCATTCTCATCGCTGTAGATATTAATCATTTTTTTATTATTAATAAACTAAAGGCCCAGGCCATTTTTAATAGTAAGACCGATTTCGTGCCCAACTATAGTTTGCAAAAATAGAGAAACTACAAGAGGCGAAAAGACTTGATCTTCAGCGCTCCATCTTGCCCGGCTGATCTGCAGCCATAAGTGTTTTGTCAATGAGCTTCCGTGCATGTCTGCTTTGTATCTCCACCTTAACGCTAGCCGTCTTGTCCATCTTCACATACGAAGCCGAAGAAGAAGAAGATGAACCCTTCTTATTCTTATTCTTGCTCTTTTCGTTCTTTGCCTTCCTCTTCAGTGATCCCATCACCTTTGCCTTTATGGTCTCTACTATACTCCCAAGCTGATCCCTCCCCATTTCTCTCAAAACACCCATACTCCTGTGTATTTGAACCAAGGGGCTCAAACATTACCTTTCAGTCTCCTGTCTTTAAAAAGACCTTTCCAAAAGTCAAGAGAGAGGACCAACGGTTGACAAAATTGGGAGTTAATGGGTACAGTTCATTTTCCAACTCCCTCATATTGACCATGCTGCTGTTCTAGAAGTCGGCAACTACCGCCATGACAACTGTTTTCTCCATAAAAGGAGTTAGATTTTCTAGTCAGCACTCAAAACTTCAAGAATGCGCACTCAAGTTGACTAGACCTATGACTTGAGACGGGTCAAGAATGGTAAACTATTGATACAACCAGGGGCTAACATGCAAAAAGCATCAGTAGATGAATGAAGGTGGCCGAGGAGACTGAGGTGTTCCACAGTTTGAGCCACAAAAAGTTGCAGGAGCTATAAACACTTTTTACTCCTCCAAATCTCCAATTATATTAAGGATCATCTTGAATATTAAATTATCAACGGTCAGCTATCACATTCTTTCGGCTAAATAGCACTTAAATACCTTCTGGTTTACATGATCTAAACCCTATCCTTTTTTTTTTTTTTTGACGTTTACGTATCCTATAGTTTTTGAAGTAGCATGTTACTACTTTCTATTAATAAACCGTTAAATATTCCCCAAACACTCTCATGTTACTTTCACTTATTAAAAATTGGTCACTGATTCTACCGTAAGTAGGAGATGATCAGACCCGTGATCAAGGGACCATGTCAGCTCGAAGAATAGAACCGCCAAAAAAATGGCAATCAGCAGCTGATCGAACCATAATAAAACATGTAGAATAGTTGAAGAAAGTTTACTTATACTCCTTCACTGGACATACTTATATAATGGTTACTTATAATAAATATGGTATGAAATAACGGAATTATTCAAGCACATTCTTTACATAAATAAGATACCTAATCTCCTATACAAGGTAGGAGTACAATTTATATACAAAGAAAATGTAGCCGTATATTACTAACATAACTTGTCAGCAACATTGTTGCTCTTTCATTCTCATTCACAGTTTGACTTATAATTAATGGCCATCTGTTTTATTCAGGAGTTTTTTTTCAAATTGACGTGGAATTTCCGAGGACCAACTACGGTGAGTGGTCAATTTCTGTGCAACTTTTCTTCGATTCTCTTGAATTCACCAGTCGCGTTGACGACATGCCTCTTAGCTGCACTTGAGCTGATGCCAAGCAGATAGCAGCATGAACTCTTTGCAGATCATCGAGAATGCAGAATTATTACTTCCCCTGCAGAGATTAATATCCGAATGCAACTTTCTAGTCTCTAAACTACACTTGCCACATGGCTCCAATTTCAAGAGCTTCACCAAAATTATAGTCATGCTCAGTCATATGTCGTTCACCAGAAGCTGTATTTAGCTCAACAAAACGATCAATCAATCAAAAGATCTACTATTTTGTGCAAGCTCGGTGGCGTCCTTTTGCAATAATGGAGGAACCCTTGTGCAAGAGCTATGCGGCTTGTGCATATGCCACCAAGCAACATCGTGTCCATTATCAAAATTGACTATTTCAATTTCTGATGCGTCTGCGACCTGGATGCATGGTCAAATTCTTCATTATTCGCTCCAACTCACCTTGATTATGGACTGCCCGAACTTATTAGCAAAGAGACTCGTCAGTTTGTCTTGAGAACTAACACCACTTCCACTACTACGAGTGCTCTTGTTTTCAATGACCACCTATACCACAATTATCTTCAGCCATTCTCTCAACAGTACCAGTTACTTTCATCGCATAGAGGAACAAGTATTGTCGCTACTGTTGTCATCCTGGGCATATCATTCAAATTTGTTTTAAAGCGACGATAAGACAGCATCCTCAGCAAAGATCAGTGTTTACTATAGTTGACTCCGGCAACAGATCTTTCACTACCGATTCTCCTTCAAACTATCTTGATATTGATGATATTGTATTACTGGTAACGACCCTTCCTTTCTGCATACTTTCAAGACTTCTCTTTATCAGAATTTGGAGATGTAGGATATAGGGAATCTTTGATAGTTTCTAGACCTTGAAGTCGCATATGAACCACAATGATATCTTCTTTCTTAACAGAAATATATCTCTGATCTCTTTATCCATGTTAAGTCGACTGAAATGATTGGAGTGCTGCCGCTTCTTCAGCTACATAAAAAACTAGCACTTGATACAAGAGAACCTTTAAAAAAATCCCACTTGGTATCATGCATTTATTGGTGCTATGGTATAACTCGCTACCTCTCAAGCAGACACCGCTTATGTCATCCATGCAGTGAGTAATTTGTATAATCTCCCACCTCCATTTATTATGTTGTTTAACTTTGGATTTTGCGCTATCTTCATCGTACTTAATCTCGATCCTTTGTTCTCTTCAATGTCAATGCTAAAACTACTGGAGTAGTAATAATATGTTATTGAACATCCAATATAAATTATGTAATATTCTTAGAATATTAATAGATTTCATTATTGTACATATAATTTGAGTATCATTTCTATAATTGTTATAGTATCCTTAAAAATTATTTTGTTAGATCATGCACTGTGATAGTTACTTGCTTGGAGATGTTATCTAATTTAAAGATTTCTTGAAATTGTGCTTAACTTATAACTAGTAAAGGATAACTTAGTTATAACATGTTATTATGCATGATATCGACATATGAGATGTGATGGTAGGTTTCAACCATCATGATTGGGGATTCCCTGAGTGTATGTCATAAGCACACATTATGATGTGTGTATCACTAGACCGTATTTGAATTCTCTAGGATAAGTCACCTAGGAGATGGAGAATTCAGATTTTTACATGGTCCCTTGGATTTGATGATATTGTCATTTCTGATTTGATAATTTAGTATGCTCTTGATGTGATTGTTAAGCTTATTTAGCAAACGCTACACAACCTAAAACATTAGGTTACTAAATTTCATTTAGGGAAATGATAGATATCCAGATAGGATCCAGTATATTCATTATAATGAGTTAATTTATTATGCATTCTTACGAAGTTATTAAATTTTCGCCGATGGGTGGTTTTGAAAAAATATTTTTTTTAAATTTATTTTCTTATAAAATAAAATATTTTGATGTTTCAAAATGATTTCTATTTATGTTTATGGGAATGATAATTTAGGCATGAGCAAATGGGTTTATTATCCTGCTCAAAAGAGCTGCATAAAATAAATGATATTAAAGGGAACTGAATGTAAGATATTATTTATAAATAATTAATTCCATGTTATGGAAGAGCTTTTATGAACAGTAGGTCGGAAAAAATTTTGATTGTTAAATTAAAATTATTAATATGCTTAATAATTCGTTCTTGATATATGACCTAATTAGTTTCACTAATATCATTAGATGTTTACAAGCAATACAAATTATATTCTTTCTTTAATTGTTATGGATAGAGTTTTAAATAATTATAAATTGTTTAAAATTAAAATGTATAAGGCTAGTCTAATCTTATATATAGGATTGATATGTAACCTTATGAATAGAGAATAGAAAATTAATAACCTATCTCTCAGTATTGCTCCTCTTTGGTGACGGGTGGATTTCAGTTGAATGCTTTTTCTCTTAAGGAAGCTCTTTTCAAGTACATCTTGGGAGATGACATTGTGGAGGGTCGGAAAGCATTCCAAGTATTCTTCTAATTTTAATTAATTTTTATTAATAGTCACAATATGCATATTTCGCCCTATTGTATATCGTGTTTCCAACAAAAACTTCATGTCATCTTCGATGTTGATTGGGCTGGTGATGTTACTAATCGTCGGTCTATTACTAATTTCTTTATATTCCTTAGATATACCCTTATTTCATAGCAGCCTAAGAAGCAAGATGTAGCCTTCAAATCTCGTGTTGAGGCTAGGTATCAGGCGACTTCTTATACTACCTTCGAGGTCATTTGCTTCTGACAACTTCCACATGACATTGACTGTCTTTCTCCAATTTTAGACTATTGCGACAATCAAAGTGCAATAAATAATTACCATCAATCTAGTGTTTCATGTATGCACGAAGTACATTGAGATTAGGACGACATCCTACCATATGTTCTTCAAATTGCTGATTTCTTCACCAAAACTTACACTTCAAAGTGTCGTCGTTCTTAGTTTCCAAACTCAGTGTTGTGATCCACATTAAGTTTGATGAGGGGTGTTATGAATATATGACTGCACATTGCTCCTATATAGATAATACATATACCTTGTATAGAAGATTAGATATCTTATTTACATAACATATGCTGGAATTATTCCAATATTTCATATCATATTAGTGCTATGTAACTTGTATATAAGCATGTCTAATGAAGAAATATAATTGAGCTTTCTTCCTCGGTTATTCTATATGTTCTATCAAATTTTACACTTAAAAGTTGCCTAAATTACCTAACCAGCACCCCCCTCACCCGGGTGGGGGAGGGGAATTTTAGGTTACCTCTAAAGTTGTATGTTAAACTTAACATTTATCATATTTTCAACACAATAAGATGAGTTTTTTAGTTGACTCAGGCAACTTTTTAGAGGTATAATTGACTTCAATTTTAACATGCAAAAGTCATATGTGAATATTTGGGGGAATATTTGATGCAGAACACACTCACTATTCAGATTTGATCCGAAGATTTGTTATGATTTTAGATTTAGTTTTGGTTTTAGATAGGTGAGAGCTAGTTATTTTGTTTAGTTGTTTTAATTTGAATTGTGTTAGGATTGAATTTGTTGGATTATTTTCTAGTTAAGATTGAATTGCTTTTAGAGATGGGATAAGTTTTTGAATTTGTTTTAGATAAGAATTCCATACCCTATAAAAAAGGGAGGAGATTTTCGTAATGTAGTAGAAAGCTTATGAATAATTTATGAAAGTTGAGTTAAAGATATATTGTGCGATTTTTCCAAAGGCGGAAGTCGTTGTTTCTCGATGTGAAGCCAAAAGGGTTAAGTGTCAGCGTGTGAATTCGACTTAACTAACGGTTAGATGTTCGTCAGTGAATCCGATCTAAACTCATTTTATCTTAATTTGTTCATTTTTTATTTTATAAAAAAATTAAAAAGAAAAGAAAAGATATTGTTCACGGATATTGTTCACCCGAGAGTTCCGGCGCTTCTCTGTCCCGCATTATTTGGTATCAGAGCAAGTTTATGTGATCCACAGTTATTATGGGTTAACATCCGCTTCTTCCTTCACAATAAAATGATTTTAATCCATTAAAGTTTGGTCCTTCATCTTATTTTTGTGGTTTTGATGGATATGTAGAGCCAAATTATTTTGAAGTTTGGCTTCAAGATACAGAGGATATATTTTTTATTTATGAAATGTCTAAAATACAAAAGTATTTATATGCAAAGTGTAGGCTCAAGAAAGAAGCTCATGAATGGTGGTCTAGAAATTATCAAGTTATCGTTCAGCTATCTATTCATCTATTCATTGGAGACTATGAAATTTCTTTTGGAAAGAAGATATTCTTCTTAACCAACTAGAAGATATTTTTGTTTCTCCGTAAATCCTGAAGAAAAGTCAACACGAGTGCCTCTACCCCAATTAGACTTGGTCGCGCTGTCGAAGTCTGAGTTCACTACAAAGGTACAAACAAAATTCGAGATGGAGCCACAATCAAAGCTTGAATCTGAATCTGAACGTGAGCTAGAAAAATATACATATCAAAAGATCAATCTAGAATCTAAGCCTGAATTGGAACAAGAAAAGGAAAATCCAAAGATAGATTTAGAGTCTAACGTTGAACCTTCAATAATGAACTTTGTTATACTAAATACTCCTCCACTAACCCCATTATCGAGTTCTACAAATATTACTGAAGACTTTAGAGACTATTGAATCAGAATACATAAAAGATATAGAGTTTATCATATTATCCTTATTTAAAAAACTCGAGGTCGAGTTTTCTCCAACAAGGGGAGAACTGATGCAGGACACAATCACTGTTCAGATTTGATCCGGATTGAAGATAGGTTTTTTATGATTTTAGACTTGTTTTGGCTTTAGATAGGTGGGAGTTAGTTATTTTGTTTAGTTGTTTTGATTTGAATTGTGTTAGGATTGAGTTTGTTAGATTATTTGCTAGTTAGGATTGAATTGGTTTTAGAGATAGGATAAGTTTTTGAATTTGTTTTAGATAAGAATTCAAAACTCTATAAAAGAGGGAGGAGATTTCTGTAATGTAGTAGAGAGTTTATGAAGAACTTATGAAAGTTGAGTTGAAAATATTGTGTGATTCTTCTAAGACGTAAGCCATTGTTTTTTGGTGTGAAACCGAAAGGGTTAAGTGTCAGAGTGTGAATCTGACTTAACTAACGGTTAGATGCCTTTGAGTGAATTTGATCTAACCTCATTTTGTCCTACTTTGTTCGTCTTTTATTTTATAAAAGAAATAAAAAAGAAAAGGAAAGATAATGTTCACGGAAGTCGTTCACCTGAGATTCCGGCGCTTCTACGTCCCCCATCAATATTTCAACAGTTGAGTAACGTAAGATGGTAACTTGCTACTTTAAAAAACAAAAGAGTATTTTAATGTCAAAAAAAGATAAGGTATATAGGTGCAAAGTCATGAAAATATTAGGCATTGTAGTCCTGTTTGGCCTATCCTTTTTAACTGTCTAAATGTATGTTAGTTTAAGAATCCTAACCTTGTCAATACATAAAAAAAAATCCACCAATGGAAAATTCTGATTTTCGCCCTTTTTCACGTAAGAAAATTCCTACTCTGACATGCAACACAGGCTGATGGCTTCTCACCTTCCAATAACCATAACTTTGGAATATGAGCTCTATATTCAAATTCTTAACTCCCTTGCACTCATAGGGTTTCAACCATATCCTTTCATACCTTTTGGCCTGACAGAAACAATTTTCCATGTCCTACTTATCTTCTTTAGGAAAAGAAAGAAGAAGAAGAAAATCCACAAAAACTAGCATCTCCAAAAGATGTAAGTGAATTCACGCAAGCAAAATAAAAAAATATCCTTCACCCTTAGATTATTGCTTCTACTTCACATGATTTCCTAATATACAAACAATCCTCAACTTCTTATTGAAAGAAATTACTCACATAAATTAAAGACATCACAATATTTGAGATTAAGATTATGAAAAATAGTAGTATAAGCACCATTATCCAAAAAAAAGTACGCTGCTTACCAAAACCTCAAGGATCCAATTTACGAGCATCAGACCATAGCATCACAGTTGATAGGAGTGCAATTGTTGCCGTTTCAACTCTGAGTCGGCTTGGGCCAAGACCAACAAGAGTGGCACCTGCTTTAGTCATCAACTCCACCTCTTCCTCCGTGAAATCTGAAAGAAATTAAAAAAAGACCACATCATGACCTCAAAAATCTAAAATACTATATTTTTTATCAGAAAAATAAGAAGACATCATTGAACTTCTTAGTCATGTTAATGGAATTTGGCAGTACTCTTAAACTGATGGATATAACTAGCCCAAAGCCCGTTCAATCTGCATCCGCAATGGTGACGATGCATATGTATAGAATTAATTATTAAAGAGAAGTAGGTGAGACTACAGAGCAGTTTAAGATGGTCAAGGCATTAAACCCCAGCATAGAATGATAAAACATGCAAATATGTCTAAAAGAGCAAACCAAGCTAGAATAAATATTGAGGTGAATGAAAGGTAGAAGCTTGGTCAAGCAAAGTATTCAACAAAAGTGCATAGCAGAGTCCAGGGTTTAACCCCTGGAAAAGACCCAAGTAGGAATCTACAACAAGAACGGGGTCAGACACATGAGTTCTATTCTTCCGTTCAGTTCTTTTTATGGGCTATCTCATTTACTAAGTTAATTATTATCATATTCTTCTTAATTGCTTCCAATCACATTCTCTTTGGCCTACTACTAATTCTCATTTCTCCAATAAGTAGAGATTAAAACTAGGAAACGGAGAGAGAAAATACATTCATATACCAACTCTGCCTGTTTTTTTTTCCCGTACATAGCAAGTAAATGAATCAATAGCTTGGAAAGATCCAATGGTTCCATTATTCCTAGAAAACAGCAAAGTGCCTGCTGTTTTTCCTCGTACATATTGAACTCATCAAAGGAGTTCGGGGATAATTAGTTATATACTCTTAACAAATGAGTAGAACAAACAAACCATCAACATTAGGTCTGACTGAGAGAGAGACCTCCCTCTGGTCCGACTATTACAATTCCATCACCGGCTATGCTGGACGAAAGCAAGACATTTACAAGTGGAGTTGCCTCCGCTGCTGCTAGAAGAGAAAATTTAGACTGATCAACCTAGCATCAAGAAGAAAGGAAAATCTTTAAGCAAAAATGTCCAACTACAATCAGATGAATACAATATATAAGGTTGAACTACATTTGCTAGGAACATCTTAAGTTTGCATAACGTTCTCTCTTGAACACCAGAAATATTTAAAGTAGGGACTTAACAGTCTCATTAGCATGTACCTCAACCAAACTTCTCGACTGATTCTTTCTTGTATACAAGAAGTATTTGGACTCAATGTCAATAGAATATTGAGTCTTAAACTTTTTAAACTCTAAAAGAAGAAAAATTTGAACTAACATAAAGCCTATAATCAATCCCATAATAAGAAGGATTTGGAAGATGACAATCATACAAGTATTAAAGCACTACATTCTACCTCCACATCTACCCTCTATATCAAATAATTTATCATATGCAGTTCTGTGCCATGCTGCCATTTATCATACTCCTTTAAAAGTGAGTCCTTGTAAATCTTTCCGTGATCAATATTACCCATGACTCTTTTTGATATTACATACTAATCCTAATTAGAGATGAATATAACCTTTTTCATATTATTTTATGATGAGCCTAACTATAATTGACTATTGATCTTCCTTACGGTGCAGGAAATTTTTTGCTATTTTGTTTCCTCAAACTTGAACTAGAACAAAATATATTTTTTTATAAAGAAAAGAAAATTGGAATTTTATGAGTTCTTCTTTTCTTTTCTTTTCTTTTTTTTAAACAAATGAGTAAGTTTGATTCAACGGATGTTGCTGAGTTTGAGGAGAGCTTGTTTGCAACTTGTGATGCAAAGATATTCATTTATAAGAGTTTCTTTTACTTTGTAGATACTATACGATCTTTTTTATGTTAATAGTTGCATAAATAAAAAGTGCCCTCTTACTTGTTTCTGTGGTGAATATAATTGGATTTCGATAATTTCAATTTCGCTCATAAAATTAAAAGGGGAAAATTTTTATTAGTTATTATGATTCTTTTTAAATGTTGGGATGACCTTCAAATGCTTGTGAAATCAGCTTCATTCTATTATTTCCAAGATTGTCTCAAGGGCAAATTGGATTTAGCCTTAATTATATTATTGCATAGGAAACAATTTCTAAATTCTAAGTTTACTCTTTTTTTTTTTGTTTTTTTTTTTTTTTTTTGCTAACCTCTCTTGTTATTGCTATTATATGTTCATGGGTTCCTCAGAAATATAATGTATGTTCAAGGCAATATAAAGAGAATTGCTAGCTTAACTATCACTATGTGTTGGTGTGGTTATTTTTAAACGTTGGGGGTGGCTTTCCTATTGCATACTTGAGATTTACTTCATTTTATTATCTCCGATGTTTTATTTTCAAGGAGAAATTTGGGCTTAGCCTTGTTACCACACAATAAATGATCTCAAAATTTTTATCTTTTGTGTTGATATTAAATATCTTCCTTTTGCAGCATTCAAGACAACTAGTGTGCACCCCGTGCAAAGCACGACTATCTAATTTTTTAAGCACTGCATTTTGAATTTGTTTCCCTCTAAGTTTTAATACATTTGACTTAATTATTGTATGTTTAAAATTAAAAATCATATCTACTCCACTATACTTAAAGAAACATTCAAGTTTTAATACATTTGATTTAGAAATCATATATACTCCTTTACACTTAAAAAAGGATTCCAGTTTTAATACATTTGATTTTCTTTACTGTTTATGCTACAGTAAAACTGTACCATGAACAGTAATTTTAAATATGGAGAAGCGGGCCTGATCCACTGTTTACGGTACAGCAAATTACAGGAACGATTTACTGTTTATGCTACAGTATCATGAACAGTGATCCTTTGTTTCTCCTTTTAAGTATAGAGGAGTAAGATTAGGGCATATAAAAAATAGTGAGTCTAATGAGTAATTTCAAAATATGTATGTTCAATACATAAGGGAGCTATCTTGTAAGGTACATGAATTTGGTTTCTTTTACTTGAACAAAAAGACTTTACATAACCCAAACCCCTAACATAAACTATTTCGCAACCGAGTCATAGTAAAGAAATAAACCCAAAAGTAACAATAAAGATATTTGCCTTTCCCAATTTGCTGATAGTACTAATTAGTTCTTCAGCTAGTTAATGCAAGATGGTTTAGCTATGCAAAATCTATCCATGAATTACTGAGGAATCATGTAATATAGTTTGCTGGGAATCTGTTACATACTTGAGCGGATGCATGTGTATTGATAAAATAGAGGCCAACAAATCTAAACCCAGTTTCAAATCGTAATGCGAGGGGAAAAAAGAGAACTTACAATAGTCAGAAAATTGTGAAATTTGATGGGAGGATTCAGGGTCATTCCATGTAACCGTTGGCCTAAGACAGTGACGTTGCTTGATTAGATTGAATGTGGATGATATACACTTCAGTTAAAGATACACAAGGCAGAGTTATGAATAAATGCCACTAGATGAAGAAATCAGGGGATAATTACACTGTTTGACTGCAGCTAATATAACACGCTGTAATCTGTCCACACGATTGTCCCCAATTATAGGAGATCGCAGAGTCAAAAGGGGTGTCACACTACTAGCTCCAAGTTCCTAAAAAGACAAGATAAATGTCAAAACACTTAACAAACAGAAGTCCAAGCCAGACATCCCACAAAATATTGAAAGAAACTTACCGTACATTTCTCAATAAGCCAATCAGCTCGACCTCCTTTTAATGCACCTAAGAAATTGAAATTTAGCAAATGGTAAGATTGAAGAACACAACATGATATGTACAATAACAATGATACATATCAAAGACTCTTCCCACTACTTTCAGAAAATATGAAGCACAAAATATCCAAAAGGATTGAAATCGATGCAGCTAGTGTTCTCAAATCATAAACTACATTTAAAATGATAAATCAAGTAATCCAAGTTTTTATAATAATGCCTCACCAAAGGCTGCAAATACATGCCACTGTGTGCCTTGGGGCGTAGTAACTTTGGGGTCCTCTAATGCCATTACATCTGCTCCAGTACGATCAAGCCTTTGAATGCAGCCTTCAATTAAACCACCTGCCCCATCGAATAGCTCCACCCTTATAACCCACATAAGAGGGAAAAAAACCATAAATGCACCAGGACCCAGGATATCAGGTACAACTAAGGTTTATGAATCAAAACCAAATAAATATGGTATTAAGTCAAATTGTCATAGCAACTAGGTTGAAACAAGAAGACAGATAAGTAGTAATATGAAGGAAATATTCAAAAAGGAGCTAAGACCCTATCACATGTTTAGAACAAAAGCTTCTATAAGGAGGCACAGAGTAGATTATCAATGGCAATAAAATACTCCATCATCATGCAAAATACTAACAACCCAGAAAGGCAAAATCCTAATCCTTGCAACCATCCTTTACCAATAATGAAGAAAAAAGTAGGAAGCCGCTAAAACCTCGTCAACTCCGTGCTTCACATGATAGTACTAATTAAAAGATAATTAACATCACTCTCAGCATCAACTTCCAGTCTATCCCTGTTAATACCTCTCAGATGCATTTGCATATCTACTTTTCTCTTTTACTTCTCATAATCCAATGCATAATTGATAGTGTACAGTATGGAAAAGCGTTGTCGTTTGATACAACCCAATACCTCAAACTACAACCTCATTCTATTTTCTTGTCTTATAAGAATGCCTTGATGACAATATGCAATATGTCAATGCAACATGTATAAGTTCAAAGTTGAGATGATTCTTGTCAGATATAAAATTATAGCTCTCAACCCTCATTAAAAGGTTGGACTTCTGGTGTGGTGGAAGTAACATTTAACTTGGCATCAGAGCAATCGATGTTCAAATCCCATGGGCCACAAGTGTAAAGCGGATTTTTACAAAAAACACCATTATGTGGCCCATGTTTCCTCCTAGGACAAAGGCACAGTAAATTTGCAGACATATTAGAGTATAAAATAATAGGTCGCATCACAATTCCAGAGTTCTTGAGTAGTGGAAGAGACTTTTACAATCATATGACATTCTATTTCGCGTTGGCCTGTTTGCGACAGTTGGCTTCCGCTTCCCAAGTTCCAACTATACTTATTTGCATTTCACTCATTATTGCTGAAACCTAGTGTAGGCGTCAAAAAATGCTAATAGATATCCCAAGCATAGAGAAGATCACTCAAAAATTCACAAGAAAGGATTTCATACTGTTTTGGAAAAATCAAAACAAGTATGAACTGTTCTCGCCAGCGAGACAGTCTTTGCTGTCTCGCCAGCAAGACAGTGTTGAAATAGTCAAAACTACATTTGTAACTGCCCTACACGTGTCCATTAACTGCCAAGGGACGTGGAAAACATCATGGGCGAAAATCACGTGGATAACTGCCAAAATAACGGAGTTTGAAACGTGAGAGAACAGTTACAGCGAGAAACTACCATTTTCCGAGACAGCATTTACTGTCTCGCTGAGCGAGACAGCAAATTTACTGTCTCGCGGGTCGAGACAGCAAACGCTGTCTCGCCCAGCGAGACAGTAAACACTGTCTCGCCGTACTGACTTCTTCGATTGTTAAGTTTTTGCAGTTACTGACCCTTGAGGCTATAAATACCCCCCTAGGGTCACTTCTGACGAGGATCGAGCATTTGTTAGAGCATTCCAGAGCAGAGAGAGCAGAGATTTGAGTTCTTTTCTTGCAACGCCTTGAAATTAAGCTTCGACTTGATTTTAAGAAGAACGACTATCTTACTTCGATAAGATATCGTTTCAATTTCTACTTCGATAACGAAGTTAGAATCATAAGCCCCCTCTTCACGATCTGTGAATCGGCGGTCCACGAACCAAAGCGTTCCCGGCACAGGCAAAGTCCCACGAAAACGAGAATTGATAGACGATTTTCGTGTTTGTTTCTCAAGAGTTGTAATTTTTGTTTTGTTGTGTAGAAAAAGTCTTATAAAAAGATTATTCTTTCGAATTTGTTGTAATCGAACAAAGTTATAATGAATTCCACAGCAGCGACTTTTGAACCAAACAAGCTGGCGACCACAGTGGGAGCCAGCGGTCTCGCTGCCGAGACCGCGGTGTCGCAACCGATCAAGATCATCATCAATGAAGAGATCGAATACGAATTCGATCAGGCGAAGTTTGAGGAGTATTTATCATCCTCATCCGCGAAATCTTCCTCGTCTCGCAAATATAGGAAGATTTCGAAAACTTTCAAGTCTGCAATGCCCAAAGAGGCCGCAGGTGAAGGTTCCTACTCAATTGCTGCTAAGGAACCCATCTGCAACATACCTGCTCCAAACGCCTCCACATCCCTTAAGGAGTCGATGACGAATAGCTCGCCGGTGCTGACGAAGAGGGCTCGTCAGAGACAGCGTCAGCGCCGTGCTCGACAACTGGCTAAGGCCATGCAACAAACCGACGGGGTCCATTACTATGCGGACCTAGAGTCGAGGAAACAGAAAGCGGTTCAATTGCCCCAACGGCAAAATAATTGTATTTCTGCAAAACTTACGACGGAGGAGTGGACTCTCGTCAAAAGGGCCCGTTCAACCCTCAAGGAACGGATACAAAGGCGTAAGGCGAAGGCTGCCCAAACTCGCGCTCTTCGTCAACAAGCGCAAGGAACCAAGAAAGAGACAGTGTCTGAAAAGTCACCGAAGAATCGTAAAGTCTGGATGCCAAAGACACCACAAGCATCTGTTCCGGGCCCGTCTACTGCAACACCAGTAGAACCCTGGGTTAGCCCAGATTTGTCCAAGTTCAAGATAACAATGGCAGATCGCCTTGGTCCTTCAGTTGATGATCGAGGCAAAGCCCCAGTCAAGGAACAACCATGTCCGGCAAATAAACCATTAATGGTTTCATATGCAGGGGGTCGTAAACACCCTCCTGTCAGAACTGCACAAGTCCAAAACGAGAGAATACCAGTTCACTCTCGTTTAGGACCTCTGAAAACTCCACACCCGCAAGGGGGTGGATTTAAACATTCAACTTTGGATCGCTCAGAGGCGACGACCAGTCGTCCTGTGCATGTTAACAAAGTTCAAAAGCGAAAGATAGGTTGCTCGAATCACAATAATGATGAGCTGTACTATCAGAAAGATAACTCAAGAAAGAGAGTTGTCAGAGAAAATGAGTCTCATTGCGCTTGCGAGAGACTCATTAAAGCAGTGTTGACAGAATGCGGATGCTCTAAGAATAATTCAACAAGAGTCTCCGTATTTCAAAGATTGTCCAATGAAGCGTCAAAACCCAAAATGAGACGTTTCAACAAGAAAAAATCTGTAATCCAACGAGATGAATTCCCTGAGGTCACTATCAACATGACCAACAAAGGAAAGAAACAGTTAGTTAACCCCGACCCTGATTTCTCTCCGGGAGGGAGAGTTGAGCGGGGTCTTTCTCAAAGGATGGCGCGGTTACAAAGAAGAGCCAACTTACGTCGAGATTACAGGAGAATGCACGAGGGTTTATCTTCAGATGAAGAATTGTCGGATACTTGTTCCGCTATTGCATCGGACGATACCGCATCCAGTGTTGGACGAGCCAGAGAATCATTCGCGATCACGCCGGATCAACTAGCTCAAATGCTGCAAGAAGCGTTGGCTAAACAACGCGAAGAAATTAGAGCTGAGTTCAAAACCGAAATGGAGTTGACTATGCAGCAGATGCGAGATTTGCAGGTTCAGCAACACCAACCGGA